AAAAACATTTTTACCATATTTTAATTGTGAATTTAATAACCGCTTCTATGTATTATAGTCTATGTGTTATATTTTTGATTGATAATTTAAAATTAATATATAAAAAATGAAATATCTTAAAATTTTTTAATCAAAGAAATGAAGTTATGTCAAGCACCAAGGAAAACGCGACGGATTTGGATGAAAAAGGGGAATTAAAAATTCTCACCATAAATAGAAATTATGCGGTTGCAAAAATACTTAAAAAATTGTGCAATTAGTAATCGTATAGGATATTTTAATTTAGTTATATTAATTTATTTCATAGGCTATTGAAAGTTAACAATTTTTTGGTTGATCTTTACAATACGGTAACTGGTAGTTTGGCGACATTTTGGAGGCGATAAATTGGGAGTTGGTACTATGTGAGCGTACTAATTCGATACGATATTTGTGTGAGGAAATGAGAGGATCATGGGATATGTCAGTGATTTAATGGACGAATACGGTTCTTGAATCGGAAAAGGGGGGAAATCGGGAACAAACTAGAATTTTGTATTGGTTATCTTGGTTGTGTGAACAGTGTCGTGAAGTTTGGATCCCATGGGTAACTCAAGAAAAAATTTATCGGACAGTAATCAAGATTCTGAAGAGATTAGGTAAGTTAGTATTTTAATTATTGAGGATATTATTTTTATGCATTGTTCTAAATGTAAGGGAAAGGGAATTTGTATTATTGGAAAAATTGTTATTAGCAATGATTTAGTTAAAGTAATTAGGATTGTAAGGTAATTTTTATTAATTAATGTATGTGCTTTATATTTTAAGTAGTGTTTTGAATTTAATTATATTTTAATGAAATGATAGTTATTTGTGAATTTATGTTTGTAGGAATTTGGTATACGTTTAGTTGAAATAAACGTGCATGGAAATAATTTAAATATTGATATTAAGTATTTGTAATGCTTGCGGTATGAATTCGTTGACGTGTATAATGTAATAGATGATTTAGAGGTAAAAGTTTTTGGATATTTTATTTATTTTTATTTTTGGAAATGTTCATATTTGTAAGGCTTGCGTTGAGAACAGTCTAGGCTAAACGGAAGATTGTCCAGATTCCCACCCGTCCATGGTAAATCGCAAATTTTGTCGCCAAATGGGCGATTTCGCGCCAAATATGGCAACCCCTGCGTTCCTTTGCCATTTTATAGCAACCCTGAAACTGCTTTTTACCGCACCTGGACATTTCGTAACAATATTATTTTATGGATTAAACATTTTAAGGAAGATTTCCTTTTCCAACAAATTTCAAATTTCCTATCTGCTACTTAGAATTTATTTAAAAAAAAAATCTAAATTTTGTCATTTTAGAGATTCAGAAACTTAAGTTCCTCAATTCCGATTATCAGTGCTTTTTTAGAAATTAGTATTTTGTTTTCAACAGAATATTAAAAATGGTTAATATCAAAGTGAAACGTGAAATGCAATTTGGAACAACGACTGAGTACAGCAGGGCAGCACCCAGAAATACCCTTACAATGGAAATGGAATGACTGCTCTGATATTAAAAAACAGATATGTTAATTAAATTTCGAAATTTATTTACTATATATTTATTAAAACATACATAAATAGTGCTATTAATGATATAAAGGAAAAAAAAAATCACCAGTTAAATATCTGTTTTTTTCCCGGGTTTCCCCTGAGAACTGTATTTTCGTGAAATCCGGATGTTGACACATGAGCCTGGATCATGTCTTGTTGTTAAAAAACCAGATTGTGTATGTATATTTAATTAATTTGAAATTTATCCGTAAAAATCGCAATCATTATGAAAAAACACGCTTTTACTTAACAATTGTATGAATATCTCATACAAAGAAAAATTTGTTTTCCCATAGCTATGTTAATCAAAAGGGTATTGACCTAGGGGTCTGTAGACCTACTTTGGAATTACCGGTCTGAGTTGAGAAAATTCATGTACACATTTTTTGTGAATTTATTATATTATGGAGAAAACCAGTGTTATATCCTTTAATTTGTCCTTCACCCCCTTTTTGTAAGTACGTAAATGTAGTCATAGTCTAGTTAGTCTTTCGGGAAATACTTAGCGAATCGCACCCTTGTGCTTGTTTACGTGTGTTTAGTTATGTTGAAAACGCACAAACAAATTTCGGCTATGTTTAATTGTTAAGAAGGTTGTAGATAATAGGCAAAGTGAAACTACTTGTGAGAAGTCTATTACGTAAACAACTTGTAGAAGCCAAATTTTCGCCCCCTGTTTAATTATTTCGCGTTATCCGTTCGAGAATACTTTCATGATTATTACTTTTTCTGTAATGCCCCAAAATCCGTAACTACCCAAGTTTGTACAAAAATCGATAGCTTCTCAACGATTAATAGCAATCTTTAACGACAATTATGTTCCGGAATGAATATCTATATTCTTGACTTTTGAAAGTTTAATTCAATCATTAATGTACGACCTTAGAAACTGACATATGCATTTTTTTTATTTATGGCGCTCACAAAAATTGCTGCTTATATCGGCATTAAATCCGACAATATAGATTATTATCTTTTCTAATATTCATATGTTCTGAACTATTTTTTCGTCTTTAAATTTTAAGTATTACAAAAATTGAGATTTTTGTAATTGATACTAAAACAAACCATATAACGCAATAGAAGGCCTAGCGATAACGAGCGTGAAATTTTACACGACTGAGCAGTTCTGTGATGATCCTTCAGTGCGCTCTAGCCGAGAATTATCAGATCTCATGCGGCAGTTTTTGGACAGAAAAGAATTATTTCTAAGCAATAAACAATACAAATATATCATTTTACATTTACACTCGCAGCATCTACTGGGTATATCTATGCTCCAGGTCAAACATGCTGAACTCATTTTTAGGAAGACAGTAAGTTGATAAATCCATGGCGAGTAAATTTGATACAAGGGCGACATCTACAATAAATTTTTATTCTATATTTTCTTCCAGTTGATTTTCAATGCATTATATATATATACATTAAAAATCATTATTTTTTGTATACTTTTAAGATACCGAACATATATCGCTTTTGAAATTTAAACCTGTACTTCCTAAAAATGAAAATGCACAAATCTTTCTCTGTATTGTATAGGATTAGTACTTTGGAAGTTTAGTAATACTATAATTAACTAGTAATTTGGTAGGAAACATTGAGTAAAATATTGCTAGCACCCGGCATGGTTATTCGAATACTTTTAAGCAGACCTGCAGTTTATAAATTGCAACTATATATTTGATATAACTTCATTTGATCGTAGCAAGTATTTCTCAGCTAGTAGTTCTAAGGTATATTTTTTAAATTATAATTACTTAAGTTATCCAGTGAAGGAGAGTTCCAAAACACACGAATTACATTTCGTTATCGAACCTACATTTTAATGTACTTCTGTTGCTGGATTTAGGTAACTATTTTTATAAAAATATTCATTTATGTTATCATGATAAGTTTCATCCAGTAAATTCAAATCAATTTTTTTAAAGATCTAGGAGATATTTGTAATCCGCTAAGATAATTTCAGTAGTATCATTATTTAACTGCTTTATATTATACAGAAGTTTCTTAAATTTAATTTATACCTTTCCTTAATTATTACTATAGAGGTTAATTTCATCATTAGAGTTTAAAATATTCGCTCGCAACAGAAGAATTTTTTTTTGTTGTTGTTAAAAAGAAAAAAAAACCTATTTTATTTATAAAATAAAGCAGATTTAACACAGCAGTATCAAACAAGGAAAAAGGGAAATTCTTCATTAATTTACGCTTTTACACACTATTTAGATGAGTTTGGCTTAATTTGATCATATCAAAGCACTCAAGGGCTATTTCCTTTTAAAGGGAGGAGACTTTCTAACAGAAACTGGCTCGTATACACGTTACACATGGGAAAGCCACAAAAGCGCCGCTGCAGCCAGCCCGTTAGTGAGGCTCGAACCAAACTACCATTGTTTAACGACTTTACCGCTCGGCCACTGGTGGCCTTACATACTAATCTATTAATATAATTAATCTGTTTTTTAAGTATATTTGTACCATTCGTAAAAATAAATACAACTAACAGTCTCCTAAGTACTGGCAGATTCATGAAAATTATTTCTAACTTATAGTGTTACTTAACGAAAGTATTTTTTATTGAAATATATAAATTATTTTCAAATTATTAGTCGTGATTAAATCTTCATATAACTTAATCTTACTTTTATAAAAAAAACTATTAATCGCATGATTATTTACATAAATCTCTAGTTTAACGTAAATAAAAATCCCCTCTTTATTTGTTTTTTAAATTTTCCTACCGCTCATAGTCAGATAGGAAGACTAAATAAGAAACATAAAATTGTAATTAAGGACTACCCTTGTAATGTAAAGTTGCTTTGCAGAAATTCAACATAAGATACCCGTAAATTTCAAATAAAATACCATAGTTTTCAAAGGATGTTTGCAACCAAACTTTAGTTTTTAAGTTGTTCGCTAAAGACCTATTTTCAGTAAACTCAAAATATTTATCTCTAAATGGGTTGGCTTGACATGTCATGCCTCTGAACTTTACCATTATATTAGAATTACCAAGGATATAATTACTATTTAATTAACTCTAGATTATGACTTTGGTGAGTTTCAAACAAATCGCAAAAAATAAGGCACGTTTTTGTTATAGCACTCACATAATGAGGGCAATAAATCGCATGTTCTAATTACCTCTACAACAATAAAAGCTCTCAGATTCTCATAGTATTGAAACTGAAACTAGACGTTTTGCTCTTTTAAAAGCAAAGGTCACGGAAGAATTAGTTTGCAAAAAAAATAAATAAATAAATATTAAATTAAAGTATACATTCTTGTCTTCATTTTTTTTCTCTCCAAAGTTCACTTTTTGCCCGAAAGGTAGATACTGCTCTGCTCTGCTCAGGCCAGGCCAGACTGGACCGGTTTCTTACTTTGAGGTGAAGATCGTCGAATCTTAGTTCCAACCGGAGTAAAAAGGCTGCGACCTCATCGAGATTTTAATATCTATTTTTCCCCTCTTTCTCTTACTCTTCTTTCTTTTTTTTTTTTAAAAAAAAGAAAGAAAAAGGGAAAAAAAGTGTCCAATGCACTTTTTCCCAAGCTTCCGCGTTTAGCAACTTCGGTTTCTTCCGGAAACGTCTTATTTTCTTTTTTTCTTTTCTGTTCCCGGAGTAAGAGCCACGGTGTAAAATGGTAGTGTTTATTTTCACTTGGTATTTGTGAAAGAAGATTGGATAATATCGTGCAACGACAACACGAGTTTATACAAAGGTAAGAAATATTTTATTTATACGAGTTTTCACACCGTTGCTTGTGCATATTTACAGAAGTACTATAATTATGCTGTTTGCATTATCATATTGAGAATTTTTTCGAAATTCAAAAGCCATTTTCTTATCAAAACACTTTGAAAATAACTGCTAGACTTACATCTCTTGGCAAAGCTCTGTAAACAAACGCAATCTTAAAAATGATATTATATTTAAACTAAAGAAAAATTGCTCGAGATATTCAGATGCTTCCAAATGTTTTTCTCACTTGTTTACCATTTTCTCCCTTTTTGAGTTAGTTCAGTTGTTTCGAGGTTTCATGCGGTAGATCGCGTTATCGTTTTCTTTTTCTTTGACAGTTGTTTTTCCATCACATAGCCTTTGCCGAACACTCAACTTTCCGTGTCCTAGCTAGAAACGCATGTTTAATAATTTTGTAGCGATCTACTGCCATCTGCCTGAAAATATGCAATAATTTTCGTTTGCTTGTTTTTGTTTCGCTTTTTTTTTTTTTTTTTTTTTTTTTCATGTGTTGTTTTCAAACATTTTGATTCGTAAGAATATAAAAGTTACAAACATATTCAGAAAACAATTAGAGCATGTAGTATTAAATATAGTAAAATATGCCAGTTATTATCATAAACATGTACAAAATAAACATAAAATTTTTGCTATATTTAAACATAAAATATATTTAAAAATAAAAATGATGTTTAAGTCTAAAAATAATAAATTATCTATTACTGTTGTTGCAGAGTAAATCTATTATCTATTTAATCTTTGTAAATCTTAATATTTATGTTAAATAAGATCGTACCGAATGTACCATCTTATTTTACATATACTATGCTGCAAATAATTCTGCAACCATTTGTTGCAGAGTTATTTACAGTACAGAATATGTAAAATAAGATCGTATGTTTGAAGTAATTTGCTTTGGGTACTTAGAATAAAATGTTTTCTACCTTCATTATATTTTGAACTAAATCTTCAAACTTAAGAAAATGAGGGAAAAGCTTGAATTTGCTTTTTACAAAAACTTAATTCAGATATATTTGATGAATTGAAAGGATAATTATTGCATTTTTCTTTCAATTTATAAGTACTTTAAATAGAATCCTAGATTTTTCTTACTGCTCTGTAAATATTATTAACATTTAAATTCATGTTATCATATTATGAAAAATATATTACCTGAATATAAGACTTGTCAAATTCAATGCATAAGAGAGAATATTCTATTAAATGGAAGAATTTTTATTTTATTTAATGAACATCCTTTTACTTTGACATATTTAAAATAAGGAGTCAAACGCAATACATATAACTGTTTAAATCGTGAAGAGAAATTTTACGAAAAATTAAAATGAGCTTTTGTTCGCTTTCCGTTCATCTCATTAATTTTCTTTGTTATCCAGTTTTTATTTAACACTGAGTAAATTTTGTAAACACTGAGTAAATGATATATACTCATTCAAAATTTTTCAAGGACATTTACAGTTTTAATAATATGTTTACTTCAGTAATGTAAGAATTGCGATATCAAATCACAGTATTATAAAATTGATTTCCAGCTGTGAGATTTTCATTGCCAAACAATTGCAAGAATTGAAACTACTTTTTTACTTAGCTAATATGTGTTTCGTTAATGTCTTGAAACTTTGTGGAAATTAATTTTTTCTGTTTTGCCCAAGCTTACATTTCTATGATATTAATTGTCTGCAAGATCTTTTTCTGAAATTTAACAATGCAAAACTTATTTTTCTGCCACCCACATCAGCCAAATCTCTTTTTTTTAAAAAAATGAATAAAACCAGTAAAATTGGAATCTTAATGATATTTATGAATCGAAAAATTAGAAATTTTAAAGCTATTTATGAAGCGAAAAATGAGAAATTGTAAAGCTTTTTATTAAAAGAAAACAATAAGAATAACATTACGCAGAATAAAATAAAAAAACACTAAAATTGGGTCTTTAATGAAAAGTTTAGAGCTATTGTAAATTGTCTATAATATGGTTTTAGCTATGATGATACAAGAAACATCAAATTTTAGAAACTCATAAACGGTTATAGGTATGTAAAGAGAAAAACGACAGCAACCATTCCATTACATAACTCAGTTAATGCTAAGTCATTCTATGTTAGTACCTGAACTGAAGCTATAATTAATGCATTGAATATTAATGACTGAAGAGCCACTGAACGCATCTTGCCTATCTATATGTTGAAAAACCTTTTGGTTATCGATTTTGAATTTTTTACGCAATCAGCCGGCTTTTGTCATCTTTTATGATATTTAAGAACTGTTTCTGCAGAAGTATGAATTTATTATCTATAATTACACTTAAATACCTGATTTTTAATATTTCAATATTCATAGCGGAAACTGCCAAAAAATTTTCTATATTTAATAATTTCTTTGTCCAATCTGATTTTAGCCAATAAATGAACTGTTCAGAAAATTTATTGTTTTCACTAAAATCATTAAGTAATGATAGTAATATGCGTCCGAACGAAAGTAAAAAATACACTATTTGACAAGGAAAATGGATCACATCGAAGATTTTGCCTTAGCATTATGAAAATTGCAAGAAACACCTGTCTACACTGTCTAATAATAAAATTTCAATTTGATGACCTGGTTAATGAGCGCCATTAAAGGAGAAAAAAGTCAGATAAGTATACTTTTTTCGTTTTCTTCAGACTTTGGAAACTTATTCTGGACTTTTCTCATTCCCAATTAAACAATAAATTGAAGTAATTTAATGTTTAATTGTAAAGAAATTTCTTGATTAAGGTAACTGTGGGTAAAGAAATTTTAAGGTAGTAAAGAAATCTCCTCATGTAACAAGATGTTTCATTTTAGGCTACGTATTGCTAGATATTCTACTAACGTGTGGCACATGAAATACATCAATATTCATCAAATGTGTACAGGCCTTGGAGATAATGATTTGAAGAAGGAAATGTAAATGCTTATAAGGGTACTCGTGCATCTAGACGAAAGTCACAGTGCATACATAGCATGATGCATCTTGAAATAAGTGGTGGCAGCCCTACAGCTCACTATTTTCGACTTTCCTCAGACTGTGTAGGCAACTTTGGATACTCCAGTATCAGCAAGAAAATTTTCCGAAAGGTTGGGATCGAAAGTGACTTGCAGTCGAGCTGTTCTTTCTGTTACCTTTAACTACAGCCTGCCGCCATGAAAATGTTGCAAACGTGTCGAGTCCGAGCCTCCTAAAAACTAACTAAAATTTGTAAAGTGTAATAAGTGACACAATATAGATCAATGGATCTTGTTTCAGGTCTTTCATTCATAACCATCGAGTATTGATTTGGTTTGATTTAGTTTATTATAGCCAAGGACACTAGGGATATCTGCCTAAGCGGAGGGATGTCTTCTTGGAGGACTTTCTAAAGGACACAATCACCAAGTGAAATCTGGAGACAAATAAAAATCTTGCTTCCGTTGTTCAACACCATCTGCTCTTCAACATAACATCATGATTTGGAAGGCCATCAACATCAACAACCTTTCACTCAAAATGCTGCTTTTCGGCAAAACAACGTTCGGTTACAGTTGATTGTCTAGCCGCAGTCTCAAATAGAGAATAACTTTGGACAATGTTAAAAAACAATACAATCATTATACTCAAGACATTCCTCAAGACATTCTGCGAACGCTGTTTGAATCTGCGGCAGAAAGAGTTGTTTTTGCTTGTATCGCCCAAAACGTAGTTCTACTTCCTATTGATTACCCTTTATATTAATCTGTAGTACAACATCATAGTCTTCAGTTTAAAGTCATTCAGAAATGGTTTCTTTATCTATGCCTCTATTTTCATTACAATCTTTCTGTTGCCTCACTGTGTTACTTTTTTTTTTTTTTTTTTTTTTTTTTTGTCAGGCAGTGTAAGTAACCAGAAATGGTTGCATTTCAGTAAGTCGAAGAATGTGCTCAAAATACATATATACATTATTAAAGACGTTATTTTTCGGCATTTAACAAGATAAAAGTTGTTAGCTAAACTTTTGTAAATATACTGAATAATAAACTGAAGTAATATTTATTTAAAATGTTCTATCTTCTTGTAGATCATAGCCAAATAATGCTTAGTTACTTAGATTAGAAGAGCTTTTTAATTATAAAATGGTTATAGGCTATAATAAACTAAATCAAACCAAATCAATACTCGATGGTTATGAATGAAAGACCTGAAACAAGATCCATTGATCTATATTGTGTCACTTATTACACTTTACAAATTTTAGTTAGTTTTTAGGAGGCTCGGACTCGACACCTTTGCAACATTTTCATGGCGGCAGGCTGTAGTTAAAGGTAACAGAAAGAACAGCTCGACTGCAAGTCACTTTCGATCCCAACCTTCGGAAAATTTTCTTGCTGATACTGGAGTATCCAAAGTTGCCTACACAGTCTGAGGAAAGTCTCACTGTGTTACTTTTTTTTTTGTCAGGCAGTGTAAGTAACCAGAAATGGTTGCATTTCAGTAAGTCGAAGAATGTGCTCAAAATACATATATACATTATTAAAGACGTTATTTTTCGGCATTTAACAAGATAAAAGTTGTTAACTAAACTTTTGTAAATATACTGAATAATAAACTGAAGTAATATTTATTTAAAATGATCTACCTTCTTGTAGATCATAGCCAAATAATGCTTAGTTACTTAGAATAGAAGAGCTTTTTACTTATAAAATGTTTATAGGAAGAAAACGAAACATCAGTCAAAGGAAAGTTTCTTTTGAGCACCTTATTCACCAATGTTAGCAAGGTGAAAATACACAGAAAGTCATCATCAGCTGTCAACGATATTTCAGTGAAATATTTTAAAACTCTGCAAAAGAAAGATATAATGAAAATTTTGCACATTGAAATCATCTGAGGAAAGAGACGTCAATCTTCATTGCAGATATCAGTCATTACACTCAGAGAAAACAAAAATGTGTATACAACTGCAGTCATCATGCCATTTT